TGGTTTGGTTCAATCCAAGAGGTTTTAATCCCTAATGGTTATCTTAACAGTCACTTAATTGGGCGAATTCCTTCCTAAAGAAGCTGACCAAATGCCTCACAAAGCTTACTTAGAAATCAGGCAAGCATACAGCCCATATTCTTAAGCTCGAGTAGAAAATGATATATATGTACGAATAGGATGAATAGATATAGTAGATCACAACCCTTACGGAGATATGTTACATGGCACAGGCAGCACAAAACATATTCCAGTTATGTCATACGTACATTTATAAGCACCCCCTCCCCATAAAGCCTTATGGGGTACACTGTCACAGGGGGCTGATCTAAAACCTCTCCAGCGCATCATCAAAGATCTACAACCTATCCTAAAAGATGATCCCTCACTCTCACAGATCTTGGGAGACAGACCTGTCCTCGCTTACAGACAACCCCCCAACCTAAAGCAAATACTCACCAGCAACCACACACCACTGAACAAAACCACTAACCCAGGAACCTATCCTTGTATCAAACCCCGATGCCAACTCTGTCCACATATCTATTCAAGTGACATCATCAGGGTCGGCGCTTCCATTTAGGTGACCTAGGCGGTCGCCTAGGGCACCAGGATTTGGGGTGGCAGCAATTCAGTGGCGGGGGGTCCTTCTGCGCTCTGGGTCTTCGGTGGCAATTCTGCGGCGGGTCCTTCACTCGCTCCGGGACCCGCCACCGAAGTGCCCCGAAGACCGGGAGCGTGGAAGGACCCCCCGCCACCGCAGAATTGCCGCCAACAACCGGGAGCGCGGAAGGACCCCCGCCTAGGGCACCAAAAACCCTGGCGCCACTCCTGGACATCATCATAGGACCTAATCATATCGGCCATACCATCAGGGGTTTGTTCACCTGCACATCTACCAATGTGATATATGCCATCATGTGCCAGCAATGCCCCTCTGCCATGTACATTGGCCAAACCGGACAGTCTCTACGCAAAAGAATAAATGGACACAAATCTGACATCAGGAATCATAACATTCAAAAACCAGTGGGAGAACACTTTAACCTGTCTGGTCACTCCGTAACAGACCTGAGGGTGGCAATTTTGCAACAGAAAAGCTTCAAAAACAGACTCCAACGAGAAGCCGCTGAGCTGGAATTGATATGCAAACTAGATACAATCAACTTAGGCTTGAATAGGGACTGGGAATGGCTGAGCCATTACAAACATTGAATCTATCTCCCCTTGTAAGTGTTCTCACACTTCTTATCAACCTGTCTGTACTGGGCTAGCTTGATTATCACTTCAAAAAAAAATTCTGTTAATTGGCCTCTCAGAGTTGGTAAGACAACTCCCACTTTTTCATGCTCTCTGTATGTGTGTATATATATCTCCTCAATATATGTTCCATTCTATGCATCCAATGAAGTGGGCTGTAGCCCACGAAAGCTTATGCTCAAATAAATGTGTTAGTCTCTATGGTGCCACAAGTACTCCTGTTCCTATGTCTTTAATTTCCCAGAGACGGTCCCAGGAATGGAAGCACTCAGGGGTGACAGGTAAGAGATGTTCTGCTGCAGGGTGGGTTGGTGAGATTGATTCCTGGTGTCCTTTTAGCAGCTTCTTCGTCGCTGCAAGTCAAAGGGACAAATGATTTTAGATGGTTGCTATGAAAATGGCTTCTAGCTACTCTGTGTTTACCATTTCACACTCAGCTCCACCCTGATAACCCAGCCAAAGACCAGTCCAGGGGCTTGTCCTTAGAGCTGGGCAAAACTGTTTAGCCAAAACGTTATTTATTTTTTTGCAAACAATGCAGGTTTGGTGACACTGAAATGTTTTGTGAATTTCAGTTGCTTTTGCCAAATTTTCCATTCGGGGAAACACACCCTAATTGCAGGAAAGAACAGACATGTTTTGTTTTGACATTTTGTAAATGAAAAGTTTCAAAGTGGCTTTTTGTTTCACAATTTCCTCCGATTTCTTTAATTCCACAATGATTACAAAAATGGTAGAACTGAAATGTAACATTTCCTTTGTCCCAAACAAATTTTTAACTTGTTAATTAGCTGACAATTTTAAAAGTTCTGTTTTCGGCTGTGTTCCCCTGACTTTTCAAAATGGCCAACAAACTGCGAAATCCATTCTTTCCCCAGCTCTAGATGCATAGAGTCATAGGACTGGCAGAGAGCTCAAGAGGTTTTCTAGTTCAGGCCCCGGCACTCATGACAGGACAAAGTATTATTTAGATCCGAGGCCACACGTTGGGGGCTCATGTGGGGTCAAGTGTCCCCCTCAGCAGCTGGCCCGGGTGAGGAGCGAACCAGAGATGGAGAGACGGGGAGGGGCCAGAGCCACTTCCCTCTGCTGGGATGCTGCCTGCTGCCCCATCCCAGCCCCACGCGTGGCTTTGACTGTCACTAAAAACTGTTGTTTGTGTTAATGTATTTAGCTTTCTATCCAAAATCCTAAAGGGGCCGATTCAAGGTGCTGCCTGCCCCTGCCATAAGTTACAAAACCAGAAATAAAATGAACCAGCTCGCTAACCCAGGGCCATTTTCTGGGGGGGCCTGTGTGTTCCAGAGTGAACAGCCGCCCGCCCCGTCTTCAGCCCACTCCCTTTGCTAGCAGAGCTCAAATGCAGGGCCGGATTAACTTTTTCTGGGCCCGGCACCAGAAACAGGTAAAATCAGATCTTACACTGGAGTCCCATTTCTGTGGATTAAAATGGTGGTGGTTAAGCAGCGCCCCGTGCTCAGGTTCTGGGATGTCCTTTTCTGCAAAGAATTCAAACATTATTATTTATGTAAACAGTTTAATTTGTGAAACATGGACCCATTTCAGGTTTTTTTTTAATACGGTATACCGGGGTCGGCAACCTTTCAGACGTGGTGTGCCAAGTCTTGATTTATTCACTCTAATTTAAGGTTTTACATGCCAGTCATACATTTTAACA